TTATCTTTGCAATAAGAATGGACAAGGTGACCATACCACTGCACTCTACAAATAGCTCCTGTTAACAGTCTATTTTTCTACCTAATAATAAAATGTTCAGCATTTATTGACTAACGGAGACTGTTGGCTTTCTAGATTTTATATTCTTATTTCTATAGCTACTTTTTCTGTAAAAATTATAAACCTTCAGCATGGATGAAAATATCATCTGACACAGTACTATAACTTGTTTATAGTTCATAGCTTTCACCTCAGCTTTTATTTCCATGAACTCAACTGGTGTGCTAAAATTTCTGGTCTCCATCAGCACCAGCACTGAAATTTTCCAGACTAATGATCATCGTGCTAAAGCAAACAGAGGAAGGTAGGAAGGGGTCAAGCACGAATAGAAGCAAATCATTCAGAAATAGCAATTGGTGTAAGCCCATTGCGCTGCTCTCCCCGGAGCTGCAATGCGCTTCTTCAGCCCTCGTTTTTTGTGACCCCTTCAGCTTCTTCAGTGGTTTTTACTTTCAAAGAGCTTACTGTCTCTTAAAATTACACGGGAGAAGATTCTGAAGAGTGACAACATGAATAACAGTCTATATGCTGATCTGTTTCCATTGTCACATGTAATTCCACTCCTTCAATTAAAAAAAAAATAGCCTATTTGCAACATACCCCCCTTTCTACAGATGAACAAAGAAATCCTCCTTCCCGGATTCTGAAAGTAACTTGTCACAGTGGGGCTCTCAGGCCTCGTCCAATAATTGTCTTAGTGCACTGCCTGCTGTGCTCCATATTGAGTGAAAATGGAAAGTGGGCCCCGGCTCTGCTTATTTCACAATTCTTCTGTTATTTAAATGATTTTAGTCAGTTTGGGGGAAGCCAGACCTTTATAAATTAACAGCAGGGAAATACCAAAGGTGTCAGATTGCATATTTATCATCTTTTTCGTGTAATACTTAAATATGTATTAAGAAGTGACTGACATAAATTAGGCAGATTTCAGAAGCCACAGGCCTTAGCTTGTAGAGGACCCCCTTCTGCTTGACATTTCATCCTTGTCAAAGATCAAATTATTTTAATTTAGGCTGCAAATTATAAGGAATGAAGACTTCTTTGTGGGAATTCCCTGTGGTAATCTGACTTTTGTTGTTACTGCTGCTTGTCAGTGTGCAAAAGATATAATATGCATGCAAATAAGGTTAAAAAATATGTACTATCTAATTATCCAGCCAGTACATTCCACTTGAAGACAGTGGGAGGCCTGACACACAGTATGTGTTTGATTCATTGAGGCCTGCAGGGTATTTACACAAGATTACTTTTAATTATGAAATTAATATCTGTTTATCTAGAATGTATAGCGGTAAGTGAGTATACACATGAGTAGAATTCTTTAGTAAAAAGAAATCATCTTAATTTAATACATAAAAAGGAAGAAAAATAACTTGCCTCTGGAAAAAAAAGAAAGAAAAGAAAAGATCATCAAGACTCGGTTTCACTTCATTGAAACAAATTGAATGAAAACTTGGCACTTCTTCTCTTGAATTTGTGTCTGCCATTGCCAAGTAGGCTCAAGATGTGTTGCTTTATTTCGTGGTCTTCTGTGAATATGAATCCGTATGAGGAGCAGAATAGGGACTGGAGAGTTTTTCATCATGATGGAAAATGTTCCTTCTTTTATGTCCCCAAATCCTGATTTTTATAAGACTTAGTGTGATAAAGTAGGTATCAGTATTTTTTTCTGTAATGAGACAAAGCATATACACAATCACACTGTAGCTGTAAGTCATGTCCCAAACCAAGCTTATACACAATCACACTGTAGCTGTATGTCACATCCCTAACCAAGCATAAACACAATCACACTGTAGCTGTATGCCGCGTCCCTAACCAAGCATATACACAAGCACACTGTAGCTGTAAGTCACGTCCCTAACCAAGCATATACACAATCACATGGTAGCTGTATGTCACGTCCCTAACCAAGCATATACACAATCACATGGTAGCTGTATGTC